TATCATCATCATCGTCGTCCTCGTCATCATCATCTTCGTCTAGTAGCAGTAGTTCAGATAGTGACAGCAGCAGCGAATCGTCATCATCATCGTCTGAGAGTCCTAGCAGGAGTCCTAGCAGGTAGTCCTAGCTCGATCGATCCCAGTGATGTTGTTATCAGGAGTCGTCGTGATAGTAGTAGAGGGAAGGGGAATATGTCTTCATCACAGCAGAAAAGGAGGAGGCCCGAGTCGCCGGTGAAGGAAAGTAAGGAGAATAATCGGATGAGACTTTTCGAAGTATAGGTTGGAAATAGGTAGATCGTCGAAATCATCAGCAGACTTGAATGCCTGGAGGAAGGCACGTGACGATGCTCAAGCTGGTCCGAGGCAACGCTATATTGAACGCCCATCGGGTCGAGGTAAGCTCACGCGGCGGCGCTGTTGTCATGCAGTGTCGGTGGATGGGGGAATAATTGGAATTCTGTTATGATACTGCCATCTTCGAATGGCACTGATTACTTGAGTCTTTAGATGGGCGTTCATATGAGAGGTCCCGGGGAGAGAGTAGCCGATCTCCTCCGAGTCCCCGACGTAGACAAAGGAAGGATGTCGTGGAGTCACCGAGACGTAGGAAGAGGAAGGATGCGGTTGAAGACAGCGGTAGGTTACTTGTCATAGGTTCACGACTCACATCTGGGGTTTTCATGGGGGTAATGATATTGTTTCATTTCATACACGATTAGTGATTCTGATTGCTATCCCGATTCATGTAAAGACGTGTAGATAGTTGATATTGTGACTGATAAGGAACTAAGGACAGATGGAACTATACAAGCTGACCTACATTATACAGGCATTATCTCGTGGTCTTCACTCATTAGATGAATCACCTCCCACGGGATCGCCTAGGAAAATCGCTAAGCGTCGAAGTTCATCACAAAGACGCGGTAGCAATATTAATTGCTGGTCGTGGTGGCATGCCTGATTTAGGCTGGTTTGAATTATCTCTCTCACCCTCACGAGGGACTCCTCCTGAAACTCGACCGAATGAGGAAGAGCGTTCAGGCGGAAGTACCAACTCTTGGTGGATTCATACTTATCACTTTTTTCTTCAGGACGTAGCCGCTCGAGGAGCATATCGAATCGGGGTCGGTAGGCCCTTCGAGATCGACTTTACCGGCCGCTAGAAGGGATAGCTGATGACCTAGTTGAGTTTACGTTGGAGGTGGTTAATCGTCTTGTGTTGTTGATGAATGTGGACGGAGCGTTGTTGGGGGAATTGTACTCATTTATTCTACATGCCTACTTTTTTGGAGATTCGCTCTTTTGAAGTGGGGTAGGTCGGACAGAGGACTATAGGAAGCTTACGGTTTGCATCGCTCTACTGACTACATCTTTTTTCCTCGGTGAAGTGCAGCTGGCTACGGGTGGTAAGAAGGATGAGAGTGTTGAATTTAGGAGTCCCAAACTTAACAAATTGGGATGGATTATATTCTTATCGAATTGTATTGAATTAAACCGAACCGAAGTATGCTTGTTATGGATAGAAGTAGTAGGTTTATTTATACAACTTATTTTGCTAAAACCTTATATAAGCGTGCCCTAGTGTCAAATGACACAGCCGAAACAAAATCTTGGAGACAGATAGTTGTCATACCTAGTTTCTCGAAAACCGAATATACGTGAATATATGAGGGCGAAGTACTTCGTCTGTTTGAATCATGCCAGTTCGAAAGAGTGTCGGTTAGTCTCCTTACCACTCGTTGGTTAAATCAGTCAATCGTCCATTGTCTACCGCGTGACCGCAGGATCGATGTGAGGATCCTTCTTGCACACAGCCACGCCGAATAAGGACAGCCGAGGATTTTGCTCAAGTAGAGAGTGTTGAGGATGCATAAAACACCCATGCTGCATGGCTCATGCATCATGAGTCCCACTTATTCGTAAGTACTCCCCCTCTAGCAGAGAGCATCTGAGACTCTATGCCGATGAGAAGCAGTCGTTTCTCGCGCAGAAATGATATGACCGATTTCAAATCAAATCGGTCCATACTTGCGCTATACTGCTATGTTGACACTATCCCACCCAGTGGTGAGGTGAATTACTTTACTTAAACGACAGCCGTATCTTCGAATCAAGTATACCGATTGAGCGCGCCGCGCAGGTTCGTCAGCCCCATGGCAATTTTCTGATGAACGGGGTTCAGCGGTACTACTCACGAGTGGCATGGATATGGTATGGGTAGAGTTGGCTCATCACTCGGCTTATGGCCAACGCAAAAAGTCCGTACGCGTACCCATGGTCCTAGGACGAATGTCGTGGTCGCAAACTGTTCTGTCTATCAGTGAACAGTGGGAAAATCAGGAGCCTCGTCAGCGACTCTTTTACATGCAATTAACATGGAACAAAGAGTTGCGGAATGGAATAAAACAGTTTTGACAGCTAAGTCGTGTGTTGACGATTGTTAACGGTGTTTGAGACCCGTCTCCCTCCTGTGACTGATGACTCGACTCGTGAGCAGACATTAAGTAGGAAAAAGACGATTTAACCAACTCAATGAACGGATTGTACGCAGCGCCACTGTGCACGCATACACATAGTAGCGTGCGATGGGCGCACAACATAGAGTTATCGGACGAATGACATGAAATAGGGGAACATTACAGCAGCAATGGAGCTCTGTCTAATCAACGGTAATCGATCAGCGATCAGCTGAAGATAACAGCGATGTTACATCTTGAACATACATATATATGCTTGCTTGCCCGCAACGTTGAGATGAACACAATCCGCTCCATAACAATTCAGATCCTGATGATATGATGATCCACTCCGATACGTCGGGAACCTAATATCTCTTACATCGAATTTGTCGCAAAACTGGTAGCAACGCGAGAAAGGTTGGCACACTCCTGTTCCAGGACATTCGTACTGTGTTTTGCAGCTGGTGGCACACACAGCATAAGAGACACGACCTCCATCCTGAAAAAAGTCACAGCCACTTTCTACATGAGGATCTGCTTCCTCGAGCAGACCATCGCAAGTTCAAAGCAATGTTATGAGCTACATATCAAAGCTGGTAGACACTATCAGGTAGAGAATCTCCGAAGTGATGCCGACGCTGAGCCTCAACAGTCGAGGTGAGGTGAATATACTCACATATGCAGCGATCGCAGTGTCAGTGTTACACTGGCAACCGTCCTTACAGTCGTTGAGTGGTTTACCGTAAACTGCACCTGAATTAGCATTCATGAAGATCCTAACGGATGAGCCGTACTACGGCTGCCGTACCCCTTTCGAAATGGCCGACTAAGCGCCTTGTGACTGGTAGAGATCCCAGCTCCAGGGAACCGTTCCTAAAATGAGCAAATCATCCTCTCTTAAGAACTCAATCGATTCCTCAATATCCAATCCCTGATATGGATGGCGCCTGTCTGTACAGTACAGACTGTACTCACGAATAGCTTATAGG